GGAAAGGAGGCTGGTTCTGGACCAGAGAAAAAGTATGAAAATCCCATCCTCTTGTAAAATCATCACGTTCCTACAGCCGCCTCGATGTGGACTGATGGGAAATGTGACTGGGGGAATAAATGCCAACTCATTCCCAAGTTGAGCTATGGAAGGGCACTGAGCTTCCCTTCAGCAGATTGTCCACCCAATCCCAGCATCTGAAAAGCGATGTCCACTGACATTCGAAGCACAATGGCCAAATGGGAAGCCTATCACCTGTTCCCTAGGTTTTCAGGCCCGTGGCAGTTTCAAAGCAGTACCTGAGATTCAAGTGGATGGCTTAGGTTTGAAGTCCTGAGAGGATCAAACTCAGGCATTCTGGAGAAGAAAGAGATATCAATATAACTTGTCAACAATAAAAGTCTTGATGCATTTAGCCACGTAAGTGTACAAGTAATAATCACAGCCTATTTTATTCCGCTGGTCCAAGGAGAAACACAGTTCAGTGGACACCAACCAACTTACACTGAGCAGGGATAGAATTGTCACCAGAGGATGTTACTACATTGGACAAAAAGTGAAAGAGAACCTACTGTGTTCAAGCACAAGGAAGGGTGGAGATTGGAACTCTGTCTTTAAGGCACAGTGATAAACATGTCCCAGTGAGTATTAAGGTGGGGCAAATCAGACTGGCTGTTCTTCCCCCTTGAAACAGAGTGACTGAGGGGGTAGGAAGAGGAACACAGTCTCTCTTCTTAGCATTCATCTCATGGGGCGGATAAAAAAAGTCACCTAATCTTTGAAAAGATATAATAACGCAAATACACGGACATCAGCACACCTTCTCACAATGAAACCAGGCTAATTTTGAAGGCTAATTAAAAAAAACAAAAAAAGCAGGGAGACTGGAAAGTCTACATGAAGAAGCTAATGGATGAGGGCCCTGGAGCCTCTGCTTCCTGAGACGCCAGCCTGTCCCTGGGGCACAGCTGTGATGTGTGCGGCCAGAGTTGAGTCTACGAGAGAATTCAGAGGTGAAGCCAGAGGAGCAGGTGCTAAATGGGTCCTCAGGATAAGGCAGCAGTTGAGGTGGGAGCCAAATGAGAAGCAGAAGACCAGAAAAAGGAGGAGACCACCAGAGAGGACAAAAGGGAGGTGGTGGGGACTCACTTGACATGGGCTTTCTTCCATTGCAGGTGGATTTCCGCCTCCCCTGAGGGCTCAGGCCACAGTAGGATGGACAGTGTCCAAGGGCAGCTTAATGACCTCCTCACTTTGGTTTCTTTGTTCTATAAAGGCATGTACAACTGCATTAGTATGCTCAGCAAAGGACCTCCTTTTGTTGTGGCAGGTGCTGCAGGAATTCAGAACAGCTGATGTTTCATAAAATCATGAGCCTGCAGAGAGCCCTGGGAGGCCAGAAAACCCAAACCCTGCTCTACATCTGGTCTATCAGTTAAATGGTGCTGCAGCTCAGAAAAAAAAATTTAAATCAGGTCTATCATACTTCATTTTCTATGTTGAGATAGATACTGTCATTAGAGAAAAGGTGTAGCATGTGGTAAAGCACAAAGAGAAAAAAGAGTTTCTAATTTCCCACCCAAAGATAGCTGCTGTCAACATCTTAGTGGAGAGCACACACACCCAGGCAACCATATACATATACACATGTCCATATGGAATTTTAAATCTGAACAAAGTAAAATAAAGCAAAAGCAACTTTCTTTTTTTCACGCTTTGCCTCTCTTCCCTGATCCCATGACTCTCCCTTCTTAGCACCTGCATGAAATCTCATCGGTTTCACCATTTCTCTCTCCATTTTCACATAGAGCAGAGGCCAGTCTAACCTCTTACAATCTCCGGTCCAATTTAAAGCTCTTCTCTTCAACTCACACCTGCCTCAGGCCAGCGAACCTGAGTGAGACAGGTTTTCTCAAGGTCAGTTTCTTCACTCTGACTTGCTTTCTTGATCTACATCAGCCCTCATTTTCTAACTATTAAGACTCACTAAAGAAATTAGAAGGCATGGTGGCTTTGTAATGTGTCAACTTCGCTAAGTCGGAACTCATTTCCCAGAATTTCATTGCTGTGAGCTCCAGGTTGGAAAATCTGTAAGAGAAATGCTTGCAAGGTATAAAAGGCCACAGTGAAGCAGCAGCCATGTTTGCACCTCTGAGTTGTATACAGGTGCAGGCACTGGGGCAGATGCGTGTGGTCGCTGATCTGCCCGCATGTTGACATGGAGCAGCCGAGGGGCCTGCAAGCCCTCTACCCTCCTCCTTACTTCTTCCTTCAGTTTCTCCAAGTCCTAGGGCAGGTACATGTGCAGTTCTGTGGTCAAAGACACTTATTTACCCAGTAGGTAATCACATTACCAAGTTGGAGGTGGCAACTAAAAACAAAACTTCCTTGGGACTCAACAATCCCACTAATAAATATATACCCAAACAAAGGAAAATCAGGGACCTGCAGATGGCATAATGGCTTCATTTCTGGACTCCCATGTGGTTGACTACGGTTCGAGTCCTGGACCTGGTGTCCTAGATCCCAAGAAGAGAATGGAGGAGAAGGGATTGCAGTGTGGCCATCTGCCTGGGGGGGGAGGGGTGTGATTCCTCACTTTCTGTCTCTCTGCCTCTCTCTGTCTTTCTGGCAAGCACAAGGGCCCCATAACAAAAATATCACTCAAAAAGGGGGGGATCAGTGTGTCACAGTTTTACACCCTATAGCAAAAACCTTAAAAAATAAATCACATTGAACCCCCACAAATATTTAAGATTATATGTTGATAAAAAAACAGTCAACTTTTTTAAAAAAGGAGGCGAACAGATTCCAGTTTATGTTTGTGGTAGCCAGTGTGTGCTCATGCTTTCCTGTCCTTCTTTACTCTCCCACTTTCTGTCCATCTCTCCTCCCAGCTACTACCCTAGCTGACCTGCAGTGACTTCAGGCCCAAAACTAGACATGGAGCAGCGGCCATGTATGACTCCTCTTCCAGCTCCTATGTGGTATATGATCCAGCCACTTACCCTGCACCACTCAATGGTTCTGCTCTGATGGGATTGTGAGTCTACAGTGAAAATGGGATCCGTTTCTGGTGCTTCAGTGTTCCCGGTATCAGCTCATGCAGGACCGTCTAAGCCCCTGGCTTCTTCTCTCCTTACTCCTTCTCTCTTTGGTCACTTCATGCTCAGATAGTCTCTGCTCTGAAAACTCTTACAAGGCAGCCCACAGCTGGCTCCTTTCCCTAGGGCCCATTTCTAGCCTACCAGCAAAACATGTCCATCTTAGATCTACTAACTATAGTCTTATTCAGTGTGGTCTTCTATAACATTTCGATTCTCAATCAAATAGCAGTGTCTATATTTCCCAAACACCAAGGGAAGCATATTAAGTCTCTAGTTGGTGTTTTTTAGCAAATTGTTGTGGTTTAGTAGACATGTACTCTCCACAAGGTAGAGTTTATTTCTCTACTCCAATTTTGGACTTAGCCATACAATTTCATTTGCACAATCAACTATGAGAAGAAATGGCATTGTATCAACTCTGTGCTACCATCTTAACAGGCATTGCATCTCTCAGCTAATTCTTGCAGTTATCCCATTACTTTAAAAATCACATCTTGGACAACCGCTGGTTTCAGAATGATGATACATGTGGAACAGATTCAGAAATAAGGTAGTCAAACCACAGTCTGAAGTAGATATGACCAGAAGAGCCCAGTTTTTATTATTCCAATTGAAGTAAACCTGCAAATCTATGAAAATAAATGTGTATTTGGTAATCTAATGGATTATGAGATTGTTACACAGCATTATTATGATAATAGCTAACTGGTACACTTTACTTCTAGTGAGAAACACATGTGCCCCTAGTAATTCTTTCCAAAACACTTTCCCATATACTCAACCTCCCAACAACTCTTGGCATCCTTTACAGGAGATGGGTGTGAGCCATGTAGAGGGAACCATCGCCGAGACGCCTCTTGTGCAGATGTTCAATTGATGGCTTAGTTCACTGTCTGGGAAATTGATGTACTTGGCACTTGCTTGTTGGAGGATAAGAGCCACATCTGAGATAATAAAATAAGTCATGTTTACTATTATATAGAGTGATATAGATAGATAGCTCTGTACGTATAGCTCTACAACCTGTTATTTCATTTGAAAGTCAGTTTTAGCAAGTGTCCTTGTCACTCAATTTTCTTCTATCTGTGTATACTAATTTTGAAGAAATATATATAAAAAAAAAAAGGGAACATCAAAGGGAGTAGGGGAATGGCAAAATGGCGCCTCTCAGCCTCTTCCCACTCACCTTCGCCTGGTGCGCCCCGTCACCCTGAACGCTCCTGCAAGCAGAGGCCTTCAGTCTAGCAAGGACTGAGGTTATGCACGTGCTCCTTTTGTCTCCACATAACTAGGAATTGGCACAAGATCTATTAATAAGAAATGAGTTAAGGTATGTTAAATTCAGTAGAAATAAGAGACAGTCAATGTAGCTTAACTGTAGAGATAACAAAGAAAGCGGTCTATGCGAGCCCATGCAGGCACCTGCATGAAGGCCTCTCCAAAACAACATGTGGCAGAAGACATTTTAAACTGAATTTTTTTAAATACACAACAAAATGAAAGAAAAAAAAGCAAAAAAACCCTTTCTCCAAATGTTTAGTGATTCCTCTTCTTATCCCTACATCAGGTTGTTAGGTCTCCCAGGGAAAAGTAAATAAGATGATTAGGACAAATGACTTAATTTGCTTTTTAAAAAAATGAATTTGAATCTTTAAGGAAAGTTGTTAAGTTTCCACCTTGCCAAAATTTTTATTCTCCTTCCCATTTACTATAACCTCCTTAAAAAATGCTTCTGTTAGAATTTTTCCCAAATGTCTCATTGCCGACCTTTGTCCTTCGTTTTCTTCAAACACACAGGGGTAGTCACCTTCAGCAGTGTCCACATGAAAATGCATGGCTATTCCCAAAGAACTTTTTCTACGCCTGCATTACCTGGCTAAGTAGCATCTCAGAACGCACAGCAGTGAGTGATGATAAGCATAACGTGGTAGAGTTAACACCTCACAGGCTTACCCTCTGCACTGATCTTTAGGAACTGGGCCAAAAGAAGAACAAAGCTCCCTACAACAGCTACTACACCATTTTGATAACATTAACATTACCAATTACTAGCTGCTCATTTATGCAAACCAGACATGGCTCTGTTATTTAAATCTCATAACAACAGTACTCTGTGAAAGATATTCTTGATAACTGCCCCTTAGAGATAAAGAAAAACAGGATCAGCGGGATTAGTGACTTGCACGAGCCCCAAGATGGCAAGTTACAGAATGGAACAACATTCTGACTCTGGGATCCACACTCAGCTATTAAGTTTTGTGCCTCAAACCTGTTCTCTTTCCCACAGAGAGTAAGAACAGCATCAGCTATCACTCATTGAGCCCTACTAATTAATTAGCTTTACCTTGTAGATATTCTCAATGTGGATTGATTTAATGACAGCATCCAAATAATGCCACGTCATTTTATTTGTCTAAATCCAGTGAAGTCTACTCATGAGTCCCCAAAGGGCAGAATGGCAAGAAGCCTAATAACTGTCAAGACTATGGGATCATCTCCTTTTTTCTAGTGCTGAACAAGTGTCCTATTGCACCTCCTGAGCCAGAACATTTGGGAACAGACCCTATAGTCACTGCTTTGTCTGTGTTACCTCTAAACTGTACTGCCCAGTGTCTGGCCTCAGGGGATTTGTAACTGATGACACCCTATCCAGGATGGCACATGTACACAGTGTCCAGGCCTCTGGCATTTTCAGAAGTCCCAAATCTCTTTTGTCCTTCAAGTCAGAGAAATATCCAGCACCAACATTCCCGTACAAGCAAGTTTTCAGGAATCTTCTTCGGGCGTCGGTGCTTAAGGACTCACACTTTCCACCAGAAAGATCTAGAAGAGCTGTTTCAGCAAATGTTTAGGGGATTTGCAGTTTGCCATAGAAAAACGAAAAACCATATATGTGTTATCAACTGCGCCGTGCCAGACATTTTGTCATATTCTGCTCTACTTCCCTTACAAAACTGCAAGGTAAAAATTATTATAATTGCCTTTTAAGTTGAATAAACAAAAGACTAGAGTTGTTGTTTTGTTTTTTTAAGTCCCCAAGTCATACAGCTGTTTCGCTCTCTGGAGAAAGCCTAAGGAAAAGCTGTAGCGCATCTTCGTAATAATTGCCATTTCCTGAGCCCTCAGTCTGTCCCAAAGCCGCATGCTCAGCACTTGATACCGCTAGTTCTCATAACAACTCTCTTACTGTATAATCGCCACCTAACAGAGAACCTCGGAGCTAGACAAGCAAGTCCTTTGCCCACGCATCTCAGGAATGTGGAACCTCGCTGTGAGTCTCCACAGCACTCCTAAAGTGTTTAAAAAGGAGGTACCATCCCAGGGGACTGGGAGTTGCTGCAGAGATAAGTGGGCCCACCGGGCAGGAAGAAGAACTAGGAGTGCCAGTTGGTAATCCTGGTGCCCACCGGCCTTACAAGGCAGTGCTTTACAAGAATGAGTCACAGGCCAACAGGACAGAGGCCTCTCTTACTTTGTTTTGCAAATCACACACTGCAGAGAGAGAATTGCCAGTCACGTGTAAGTCTTATGATGCTGGTAGCTTAGTCATTCATATATTTGATAAATCATGTATACCTAAGCCTCTGGGTTGAATCGCAAGCCACCTACACAATCCTTAAGTGACTTTCCAGACTCCCGGGGTTGGTGTGGCAGCAGACACACACAGGAACATTGCTTTCTTCTTGTTCCTTGCTCTCGCTCCTGCTCCTGACTCTAGGATCCATGCTCAGCTATTGAGTTTTGTGCCTCAAAACTGTCTTTTTTGTTTTGTTTTGCATTTTTCGTTATGAGGCGAAAGTACTTGCCAGAGAGAGAAAGCCAAAGAGAGAGAGAGAGAAAATGAGAAATCACCCCCTAAGGAAGAAGGCCATGCTGCAATCCCTTCTCCTCCAGCATCCTCTGGGGATTTGGGCATGCACATACACCCTGCCAGCTTGATTTTCAGGCCTCTGCATCTGGGACTCGGACCACAGTCAGCTATGTAGGATCCAGTGCCTTAACCTCCATGCTACCTGTTGACCCTAAAATTCACTTTTTCTGTCACTAGCATGATGAAAAGGCACTCGACAGAATGAGCAGTTGCCCCGCCCTGCTCTCAGTGACCCACAAGCTCATGAAATTACCTTTCCAGCAGGACAAGATACTCCATGCAGTTTTAAGTCCCGTTAGGGCACAGAAGTTTCATCTCAGCTATGTTTGTTTGACATTTTTGAGAGATGCTATGCATGTGAAAGACATAGCAGAGATAGCAGAAGGAAATACAATATTCACATAAATGAGTGAAAGTACCAAATTTTAGTAAAAACTATATAAGCACAAATACACACACACACACACACACACACACACACACACACACACCACCTAAATACCTTCATGGGAAATGAGAAGTACAGCAAGCTGGTAAACCATTCATCTGCTTTACATTTTGAGTTCTAAATGCGGAGTTACTGAGATGAATAGACACAGTTGCTATACTCAAGGAATTCACAGCTTAGTGGAAAGACAGAAACGGTATTTATACAATGGAATTACAGAGTCTATTATGAGATCTCAGAGGAGAGACATTCAACCCTAATGGTGTAGATAGCGTAGCGAGAGGATCAAAAAGATTTCCTTATGGAGGTAGTAGCAAAGCCAAATATTTTTCAAGTCATCAACCTGTCCTAAGCACCAAGCACAAATGTAGCACCTTGACATTCCAGATCACCTGGCCCCGCGAGTGAGACTCCTACTCATATATGGTTTATCAGTCAAGACTCTTTGAACTTTAAACAATAAACAATAATATCAATTCATTTAAACAAGGGCCAAAATTTCACACGAAGTAGAGGGAGGCCTCAGAGTTAGCTTATCAACTCAGAGACCTCACCCTGAACCCAGTTTTGCCCCCTCTTTCTACCCTGAAACTCCCAACAGGTGGTATTCAGTTAACAGCAACAGAAAGCACACTGAAGCACTGTCAGAAAATCTCTAAGCGCAAAGATTCTCATCAAAAAGTTATTTACTATCACAAAAAATACAAAAACATCTAACTATTCAACTCTAAGGCCCTGTTTATTTAAATTGTAGCATATTCAATTAGTGAATTATAATCTTAAAATGTATGTTTTTAAAACCCTCGAATGTGAAAAGTTATATCTTACAATATTAAGTGAAAATGGTAATGAATTTTATTACATAATCATATCTATGTAAACCAACCAATTCAACCATTTAAAAGAGGAGAAAAAAAGATTGAAAGATTCAACTGTGCATAGTAGTTGCTTTGAAAAGTGACTCAAATGTCAATTTTTTTTCTTTCTACTTTTTGGCATTTTCCAAAATGTTTATAATGCAAATGTATTACTTTCATATAGAGAAATACAATGAAAATCGCTGATGAATTATTTGCTTGGTTTTTCTTATTTACTCAATCCTACCTATAATTAATCCAAATTCCAGGTGGTTACAGCAACTACCAGGTGTTTGACAATGAATCCCTGGGGGCCAGCAAGTGGCATGGTGGTTAAGGTGCTGGACTCCCACATGGCCAACTACATTTGAGTACTGAACTTGGCGGCTTAAAAGTCATGCTGAGAGTGTGTGCATGTGTGCCCAAAATCCCAGGAGCAGAATGGAGTAGAAGAGATAGTGGCACGGCCATTCTACCTCCGGGGGGGGGGGATTTCTCACTTTCTCTCTCTGGCCAGCACACACACCCTATGGGGGGGAAAAAGAGAGGGAGGAGAATGAACCCCAGGCTAGCCAATGGCCTGGTGTTTGGGCAGCTGCATCCCACATGGCCAACCACAGTTTGAGTCCTGGACTCCGGCTTGAAAAACACACCAGGTGCATGTGCATGCATGCCCCAAATCCCAAAAGGTGGGAGAGATGAAAGAGAAGGGACTGTAACATACCATCCTCCATTGGGGTGATTTGTCATGCTCTCTCTGCCTATGTCTCTTGCTCTCTCTTCTCTCTCTCCTTTCTCTCTCTCCAGGCAATGTTTGTACACTGTACCCCCTCCAAAAAAATAGCTGAGCATTTATCAAGTCTACCCCCCACCAACCTGCCATGTCATTACGCTGCCTTTTATACCAATTCTGCCCAATGTGCCTTCCCTCATTTATACCACCCCTCTCTGTCAGCAATACCAAACGCCTCAAGCAGAACACTTCGGACCTACCTTAGTGATCTTGGGCAAATTCTTTCACTGCTCAGAGTTTCAGTTTCCATATTTCCATAGGATGAAAACAACAATTCCCACCTCGCTATTTCTCATTAATATTATGCCAGAGTGTCTGTGTTAAGTGTCTGCCACACA